GTACCAGCAGATTGTATATATATATATGTAAAAAAAACCGTACATATGTAAAATAGGTTTTCAGGGCGCTTGTATATATGTAAATGACTACCTTTTAAACGATTTTGATACATGTAAAGAAACATGCCTTTAAATTATGTATATGTGTGAATATGTAAATAAACATGCCTTTACGGATATTGTCATTAGGGTACAAGCACAAGAATATTAAGTATTTTTAGTGGTTGAACTTTAGTATTTGATAGCATTCAGTCTCCTGAATAACATAACCTTGTATTTCTACGTGACCGAGTTTTGGCTTCGTGTGAACTCATAAAATTGGTCATCTGCTAGCAAATTGTATTTACTGTTTGTAGGTCGCACTTGAGAACGAGGCTTGGTTTTTACGGGAAAAGATATCAATTACAAAATTGAGGCTAAGTTCCCACACTGAATGTTTAAACATGGCCACTGACAGGCTGTTTCCGTGAAAACCGTGTTAGCCCCCAAGTAAACTCACACAAGGTGTAAGTCAACTACAACTACAAGTGCAGTAGCTTCGATAATTGTGTGACGGTTAATGGTCCGTTTGCTTTTTAACATAGAGTGCTTATCAGACCGCTCACAGAGAAGTTCATCATGTGTATACACAATATCGGGGTATTCGCAGTAGGACGACCCCTCGAATTTTTCCATTCGCAGGACGACGACCTGCCGGTACGCCTTTGATGTGTGGTGTTGTTTTAGGAGGGGATTAACTCATTGGTTAGTGTCAAAAACTGAAATATGTACACCAAAACTCAAATATGTTCACTAAATTGGGGAACTCTGATTTTGATAATCTAGTGAGTACCATTTACTCAACTGAATGACTCAACAGTTACTCTGAAACATGTACACGAAAACTGAAATGTGTTCACTAAATTGGTGAAACATGCATGGTAGTCTGTCATCATTCTATATATGGCAAACGCGCAGTTACAGTACACGTCTCTTCCAACTACACGCGACAGTAGATACCTTTGTACTGGTGGGAATATCAATGCAATAGAAACAATCTATGCCCACAAAACTATCTTGTTCCTTACATTGATCCTCTTACGTAGAAACAACATAGAAATAGGTTTATATAAATACTCTAATACTATTTCTTACAACACGCAGTTCATTTGATCACTGCACAGCTACAGACACGTCATTTATCTCAGATAATCTCTAACAGTTCAACCAGTGTGTATGGGGAATACTGTGCAACCTTGTGACCTAGTTTCTTATCAACATGGTGCGAATGGGCGGCGCTTTGTCACAGTTGTGCACGCTCTAAAGACCATGACATGTAGACCATGATAATTATGTTGTCGCTCTCCTCCTTGGTGATAGAGAATTTGTGTCATGAGTGTTTAGTATTAGCATGTGTTGAGCCTCAACCCCAACCCAAATGATTCAAAGCAATTTCACTGTTAAATGCTTTAATGTTATCAATAACAAGTACAAACACATAAAATAATGTGTTTCTCATAATGGTAGTGTCGCTGAATTCTTTCCTTGTAACATAGGAGTCAGGCAAGGCGAAACCATATCGCCATTTCTCTTTGCCCTTTATCTAAATGACCTTGAGTCTTATTTGTCAGATAACGACGTTATTGGTCTTGAAAAAGTAAATGATTAGGTTCTAAAAGAAATTGGAAGTTTTATCAAGCCATTGGTAATTCTTTACGCTGATGATACAGTCCTAATGTCTGAGACGCCTTCCGACCTGAAACTATGTTTAAAGGTATTTGAAAATTATTGTAATCACTGGAAACTCAAGGTAAACACTAGTAAAACAAGAAATGTAGCTTTTGCTAAACGATTTTATAAAGCCATTAAACTGTTATCGGACCAATCTTCAAGAGCAATGTTTACTATTTTTAGAAAAATACGAGTATTGGAAGTACCAATTGACTGTCAACTTAAACTGTTTGACTATCTTGTTCAACCTATATTGTTGTATGGATCCGAAGTTTGGGGCTTCGGAAATACTGTTATACTGGAACGTGTTCACTTAAGATATTGTAAATATATTTTGAAGGTTAAGCAAACTACCCCTGATTTCATGGTGTACGGGGAATTAGGGAGATACCCATTAAACATCCATGTTAAGTTAAGAATGGTATCATCATATTGGTGCAAATTAGTTCCGTCAGAAACCAAATTATCAGGTATAGTGTACAAACTTATGTTCAAACTCCAAATTGCCCACCCAGAGTTTAAGTTCCCACTTGTAAATGAAATCCAACGTATTTTACAAAGTACAGGTCTGAATCACATTTGGCTGTCTCAGGAATTTCCCAGTATACAATGGATAAAGCCTCACGTCAAAACTGTCCTTATAGATTATTTTTTACAAAGGTGGAGGAGTAGTAAAGTAAATTCCTCAAAAGGACACTATTATAATCTGTATAAAGATATCCTCTCATTAGAAGACTACTTATTGTATTTACCTCATAATTTACGCATCTGAACCACCAACCACCGACTCCCAACTGAAACTGGCCGATGGTATAACCTCAATAGGGATGATAGGCTTTGCTCTCTTTGTAAAAATAAAATTGGTGATGAATTTCATTTTACACTAGAATATCTCCCATCATATTATTGTTAATATCCAAATACTGAAAAAATTGTTTCACTTATGACTTGTTCTTATAAACCTCTCCTCTTACGACTAGCCCAGTATGTAAAATATGGACTGAGTATGCTCCACTAACTATTGTCTAATTCCTTTTTATATATGTCTCTCTTGTCAACTTCTTTATGTCACCTAGGTGATTCATGAGAAATAAACATCTTCTTCTTCTTCTTCTTTTTCGTCAAGACCTCCCGCTCTGGCCCTGCTAACTCACTCTGGACAGACAACATGTGGGATTATATTGGAGACTTAGTGACATATATAAATTCTAGTTTCTTTTCTTGTTTCATTGTTACCTTGGTGAGGAGAGAGGAGGATTTCTAAAAGTTTTGCATTGCTGTGTAAGAATTACTATTTTTCTTTTCTGCTCATAAGAATGAATAGGAACATTGATGAGCTTATCGCTTCATCACTGATCTTAAAATGAAGAGAGTCACTGGGCTCCCTTTTATTATATTTGTATTAAGATAACTGAACAACTGGGTTTTTTCTGTACGATATGTTCATTTCAGAGGCTAGATGTTAGTCTAAGTCCTGCCTTAAAGCTACAATAATAACACAGTTTTGCCATGTAAATGTAAAATAATTTATAAAATGTAAATGTTGAATAATTTTTAAAATGATTATAAGCGCATTTACCGTACATACTCCAGTATAATATACGTTGCTTATTTTTCATCGTCGTCATCATTGTATGTCATTATTAAATATGAATTAATGTATTTTGAATAATATGACACCTGGCTTAAATTAACCCAAGGAAAGCTCAGCGCTCTCCTCTCTTGTTTCAAGGCTGGCATCCTATAGCAATAGTTCTCCATTTGAGGCCTGACAGTACTGTGATCGCTACGAACAAAGCTGTGTTATGTCCAATGTATTTCACGAGGTTTGCATATGTGCCAGACCTGCCTATAACATTTGAAATCGCACCTTTACATCTTAATTTCTGGACCTACAGTTTGAAATAAGGTTTGAAATTGTAAACTGTCCAAATTTTTCCAAAGGGTATGCACACACGCTCATGTAAATGTCATCAAATTGGTTTTGTGTCAGTACTCCCTGGTATGCATGGCATGTTGGTCGTCAGCAACCCATGCTTGTCGTAAGAGGCAACTATGCTTGTCGTAAGAGGCGACTATGCTTGTCGTAAGAGGCGACCATGCTTGTCGTAAGAGGCGACCATGCTTGTCGTAAGAGGCGACCATGCTTGTCGTAAGAGGCGACTATGCTTGTCGTAAGAGGCGACTATGCTTGTCGTAAGAGGCGACTATGCTTGTCGTAAGAGGCGACTATGCTTGTCGTAAGAGGCGACTATGCTTGTCGTAAGAGGCGACAAACGGGATCGGGTTGTCAGGCTCGCTGACTTGGTTGATGCACGTCATCGTATCCCATTTGCGTGGATCGATGTTCATGCTCACTGTATTGTCTGGTCCAGATTCGATTATTTACAGACCGACCGCCGTCATGTAGTTGGACTATTGCTGAGTGCGGCGTTAAACAACAAACAAACAAACAAACAAACATAACACACCTGCCAGGATAATGGACGGGTATGGACAATGGTGTAAATATGTTAATTTTTACATTTCCATGCACTCCCAAACAAGGCATACATGCAAATATATGCAAAATATGTGGAATACTTCGTAATGTGTGCATTGACATTATACCAACAACATTCCACACGTCAGGGACCGCCTCCGTGGTCTTGTGGTAGAGCGTCCGCCCGGAGAGCGGAAGGTCCAGGGTTCGATCCCGGGCCGCGTCATACAAAAAGACGTTAAAAGATTGTACTTGTTGTTACCCTGTCTGGCGCTCGGCATTAAGGGGCTAAAACAAGGACTGGTCGGCTCGGAGTCAGTATACTGTGTCTGAGTGGGGTATTCATGTTAAACTGCGGCATGGTATCTCAGTGAGCTAGCACTATAAATCGGCATCAGTCCGGACTAGTACAAGCAGCCACACACACACATACACGTGCATGCACGTCGCTATTCTTGGACGCGACGTTAAACCCAATTTCACCTCACCTCACCTCCACACGTCAGGAAAAAGTATGTTTCGTGTGTCGCGCACGGTCGTCGTAAGCACGCAAGAACACGACATAATTATACACTCTATTTGTGGGAATAGTAATTAATTTCTATGTCGTTTGTCTCCTGCTGTTTGTGGGTGAAACATTAATATACCAGTCTGATCTATACGCCACCCAGGGTATTGTACCCGTATCAGTATTATCGTAATGTGATCAAATACTGACGTGTCGTTATTTGATAATTCACTTAAACCCCACTGCCGTTTAGGTCGAACTGTACCATTGGCCCAGTGAGATTAGCCCCAGATTAGTGTTCCCAGTTCCTGTGATTTGTGACGGCAACACCGTGTTATTTGAGACTTGGTCGGTCGATTGAATTACACTGCAAGAAATCTATTTGAACAGCAGACATACCTACTTCAACCAAGGTAAGCATGTTTTCAAAGATTGAAGAAATGTATGACTTTATGCTCCAAGGTAACCATACCGTGTTACGTAACATGTCAATGGTATGAGATACGCAAAATGCTTTTCTGTTCGTTTAACCAACAAGTAACAAGATCGATTTGAAAGAAATGTCGAAGATACATATATACTAACGGAAAAAAAGTAACTGTGCTTCATATAACGTGATGTAAATGTTATGTTAGTGAAAATAACAGCACGACATTTAGTCACCCGTCCGATCAATGCAACAACGCGTGTGGTCTGACGTTGATTAATGAATAATTTGCATACTCGTATATGCAAGGTGAGGTGAGGTGAAATGGGGTTAAACGTTGCGTCCAACATTATTGCACTTATATAGCGACGTGCATGCACGTGTGTGTGTGGCTGCTTGTACTAGCCCGGACTGATGCCGATTTATAGTGCTAGCTCACTGAGATACCATATGCATGCCGCAGTTTAACATGAATACCCCACTCAGACACAGTATACCGACTCCGAGCCGACCAGCCCTTGTTTTAGCCCCTTAATGCCGAGCGCCAGACAGGGTAACAACAAGTACCATCTTTTAACGTCTTTTGGTATAACGCGGTCGGGGATCGAACCCCGGACCTTCCTTTCTCCGGGCGGACGCTCTACCACTAGACCACGGAGACGGCCGTATATGCAAGGGGCCGACGTATGGTTCTCAGTAGGAAGTGACCAACTTGGAGACGATGGCTTGCGGTATATACAGTTTTACTCTATACATGTAGATATATGCATACAAAAGACACTATGTGCCAGGTCAGCACATAGTGGTTGCGGTTGTTGTCTAGGTGCCCCGGAGCACCCAGCCTAACCCTAGCTAGACTAAGGGTAAGACCTTTCTTTTTCTTTTTCTTTCTCAATCTCTTACTTACTTACTTATATTAGGAGATTTTACGTGCGCTTTCCGACTGGAGCGTATTTCGCACACGGGCCCGGCCGGGCCATTTAGTGGTATAAAAGTGGTAGCGAGAGGAGTGCAACCAAGGAGGGGGGTTTAGTGGTTGCTTATATAAAGTTTTGAAATTTTGAGATTTGGAATACATGCCTTGGGGGAGTGGTTGGGACTAAGGGAGTGTGTGGGGGTGAGCTGATGTTTTTTGGATGTTTAGTGTTGGTGGTTTAGTGAAGTTTTAAATACGGTTAATTAGTTCTGTTTTGGTTAGGTAAATGCCTAGGGCTTTGAAGTTTTCTATTTTATTTTGGGGGTTAAGGATTGCTTCTAAGGTAAGAGCGTTATTTGGATTTAGGTTGGTTTGTAATGTTGTACGTTGTGTGAGGTAGTGGGTGCAATGTAGTAGTACGTGGTCTATTGTTTCTGGGTGAGTGCAGTGTGGGCACTTCCCGTTTGCGTGTTTTTTTAGTTTTAGAAGGTGGTTATTTAGTTTGGTGTGTCCTGTTTGGAGTTTGGTGATTATTCTATCGATTTTTTTGGAGGGATGGAGGATTTTTGGTTTGGTGAGGGGTTTTTTGAGGGTTTTTAGGATTTGGGTTTTTGTGTTTTGATAGAGGTTATGCCATTTTTGGGTGATTTTACGTTTGTTTATACTATTGATTTCTGCTTTAGATATTGGTAGCTTAAGGCTTATGTCTGGTATTTTTAGGGATTGTTTTGCGGCTCTGTCTGCGTTTTCATTCCCGTAAATTCCTACGTGAGCTGGTATCCAGATAAGTTGTATGTTTTTGCCTGCCTCTGTTAGTTTGTTTACGCTTTTGAGAATTTGGTTTATTAATTTGGGGCGGTTTTTGGTGTTTTTGTTTTGGAGGGCCTGAAGTCCGCTTAGTGAGTCTGAGAGTATTAAGATTTTTTTTTGGTTTTTGGTGTGATGGCTGTGGAGCGCCGTGGCGATACCCATGAGCTCTGCGGTGAATATAGATTGGTTGTTTGGGAGTCGGAAGGATTGAGTATTTTTGACTGGTTGGGCTATATGGACTCCGAAACCTGTGTGATTTGTGATCGGATCAGCGGATCCGTCTGTGTATATGTGACACCAATTTGGCCATTTTTGATGGATGTAAGCTAGTGATGTGCTTTTAGCTAGGTTTGGGTCGGTTTGTTTGTTTATTGTGTTGGCTAGGGATGTGTCTATTTTGGGGATTTTAAGTTTTGGGGTGAATACGTTTGATTGTTTGCAGTTTTGTTGTTGGTTTCCTATTTGGTGTTCGTTATGGTAGTTTATTATTCGTTGGGATATTGGGGTGAGTAGAGGGTGTTTTCTAGTTAGTGCCTGGTTTTGGGGACGTATGTTTTGGTTTAGCATGTTTTGGAGAAGGGGGTTTGATTGAGATGCTGCCCAGAAGTTTAGTGTTAAGTGTTGTCTACGTAAATTTAGTGGCATTTCTCCTGTAAGGGCCTGAAGTGATGTGAGGGAGGTGCCATGTTGAGTACGTGTTACTAGTTTGAGGGCTTGATATTGTATTGAATCTAGTTTTTTGGTTAGGGTTTCGTTTAGGGTATCGTATATGGCACAGCCGTAGTCTAGTTTAGATCTGATGTGTAGAGGCTGAGGAGGGTATCTTTAGAGGCTCCCCAGTTGGAGCCGGTTAGGCATCTTAGTGTGTTTAGATCTTTGCTACATCTGGTGGTTAGGTTTTGGACGTGAGCATCCCAGGAGAGATGCTCGTCGAAGATTAGACCTAGGAATTTAGTTTGCTTTTGAAATATGATTGGTTTATTGTTTAGTTTGAGGAGAGGGGAGGCCCGTCTCATATTTTTGTGTTTGAATACTATTCCTGTCGTTTTTTCGGAGTTTAGGGAGAAGCCCCATTTGTCTGCCCAGTTTTGTATTTTGTTTAGGGATTTTTGTAGTAAGTCCTGAGATGTTAAGATACTTTTGGAGCGGATCCATAGGGCTCCGTCATCCGCAAATTTTGAGGTGTTTATTTTGGGGGATAAGCCATCAAATAGGTCGTTTATCATTATGTTAAAAAGTGTGGGGCTAAGAATGCTGCCTTGAGGGGTGCCGTTTTCCAGGGGACACTGCTCTGACAAGGCCTGGTCTATACCCACTGTAATTTTGCGGTTTTGGAGGAAGCTTTGGATGTAGTTTACGATTTGACCTTTAAGTCCTATTTTTTAAGTTTTTGGATTAATCCGTTATGCCATACCATATCAAAGGCTTTAGAGAAGTCCAGAAAGATGCCTGTTGTGTATTGTTTGTTTAGTTGACCGGTTTTAATATCCTGTTCGAGACGAGCGAGGTTATCTAGGGTGGAGCGGCCAGGAGTGAAACCGCTTTGATCTGAGTTTATTATGTTATTTTGAGATAGATAGTGTTGAAGTCTATTTTTGGCCATGGATTCCATTACTTTGCAAAGGTTGGAAGTAAGAGAGATTGGTCTATAAGAGTTAGCTTGGTTGGTTGGTTTACCGGGTTTGGGAATAGGTATGATTAGCGCCTCTTTCCAGGGGGTTGGTACATGGCCTTTTATGTAGATTAGGTTATATAGTTTGAGTAGTGTCTGGAGTAATTTAGGGGGGAGTTTTTTTAATATTTGGTAGGAGGTTAGGTCTAGTCCTGGGGCTGTTCCCTTTTTCCTATTTTGGAGTACATAATTGAGTTCTTCTATTGTGTACGGCTGATTTATTTCTAGGGCGTCATTATTTGGGTCTTGGCTAGGTTTGGTTTCTGTTTTAAGTTTTAGTTGGAATTTGTCACTGAAATTGTTATTACTGCTTGTGGCCGAAAAGTGGTTTGCTAGGTTGTCTGCTTTTTCGCTAGGGGTTGTTGAGTTATTTATGTTAGGTGTCTTTTGGTGACGTTTTAGGCCTCTAACGGCGTGGATTTTACGCCAGACCGTTCTGGCGTCTGTACGGTTGTTTAATCCCTCACAGAATTTTTTCCAGTCTCTAGTTTTTGCTATTTTAACTAGGTTTTGTACCTGGTGGTTTAGTTGGTGAGCTACTGGTATGTGGTTATGGTCGCGTTTGGCTTTGTTGAAGGCTGTTTTACGTTTTTGTCTAGTTAGTTCTATTTCCTCGTTCCACCAGGGTACAGAGGGCCTACCCGATTTATTGGGTTTTTTAAAGGGGATTGCGCTTTTGGCTGCGTTTATTATGAAGTCCGTTAGGTTTTGGCAATATATTTCTGGGTCACTATTTTCTAGTTCTACTAGGTTAGCTTGGTTGCATATGTCTTGGAATTTATCCCAGTTAGCCTGGTTGTAGTTAAATTTAGGTTCTGAACTTTCGGATTGATTTGGGACGTTAGTGTTTCCTATGGTTATGTTTATGGGGAAGTGATCACTTCCTAGGGGGGCGTCGTGAACTTCCCATTGGGTACTTTGAGCTAAGTCTGCTGTACATATGGTTAGGTCGACAGCCGACATGTTTTTATTGTTTTTGTCGTATCTGGTAGGTTGGTTGTTATTTAGTAGTACTAAATTATTTGTTTCTATCCATTCTGATATTAGTTTGCCGTGATTATCTAGTTTATCTCCCGTGCCCCAGGAAGGGTGGTGGGCGTTGAAGTCTCCTAGAAAGATGGTAGATTTGTTGCCTATCTTTGTGAGTATGTTTAGATCCTCCGGTTGGATTTTCTGTTGTTGCCAGTGGTAGATGTTTATGATGTTTATTTTTTGGTTTTTAAGGGTGATTTGGATACCATTGGCTTCTAGGTTTGGGGTGTTTATTTTGATTTCCTCGTAGCTTATGTCTTCTCTAATTAGTATTAGTAGGCCACCTGATGCTCTTATTATTTTGGTTTTAGGTCGATCATGTCTGACTATGTTGTAGTTTGGTAGGTGAAATTTGGATTTATTGGAGAATTTAGTTTCCTGGATGCACGCTATGTGTGGTCCTTGTTTTAGTTTAAATCTAGCTTTTAATTCGTGGCTGTGGGAGTTAAGCCCGGCCGCATTCCACTGAAAGATATTTAGGCCTGTCATTATGTGGGCTTTTAGTGTTTGGAGATTACGATTTTGGTTTGGTTTTTGGTTTATAGTCCTGCGATTG